TTAGGCTTTTTTGAAAATAGCTAGTAAATATCGAATAATCCTCTTAATCTTTCATCAAAAACGAACAGCTATGTGATAAGCATATGATGACTACCGACAGTTTCCAGTTTTCGATGAATAGCATAAAAAGAACTATCGTGTAACTAACATTATTTATACATGTGATAATCTTGTATGATATGTCGAGACATAAAGTTTATATTTCCTAACTGGATGAAAGTGAATGATACTGAGTATCATATTTATGATTGATAATCTATTTAAGGGTGTTCGTAAATGTTATGATAGTAAATCTGCATAGTTTCAATCAAAAATAAGATATTACAATGGCGGCTACCTTTATTTTTTGTGTGAATTTCCCACGTGTTTTCAAAAAAACGAACAGGTGTGCTTTTTAACTCGAGACTCTTTGCAGGTCGTCACTCATCCTACCCTCTCCTCCTCAGTATAGTTCATTGTAGACATCAGTAGTTAAAAGCTTCGCTCGCTAATCGGAGATCACTGTACTTAGGATTCTATCCCTATCTTCACCAGAACAGAAAAGAGGGAAACCACAAGCCCTATCCCTTACAGACACTAGCAACTATGTTGGCTTACTCTATCATTACAAGCCCTACGAATAGGGTAGATTTTTACGAATGGTTTTTACTGTAGCTATTTTATCATGCACTCAGTGAGTGTAAAGCAGGTATCTATGTGCTACATTTGAACTCAAAAGTGCCTCTGCTGTAATAAACTTTTTCACTAGACTGAAAGGTTTATGGAAAATGTATGTTAATTAGTTACGGTGGCCGATCTGCTATCGATTAGAACTCAAAAAAAGGAAATCTAGGCAATATCTGTCCTCTGGAGAAAATTGTTTATTAGCCAAGGATTTTATTTTAAATATTTTAGTTGCCATCAGGATTCACATAAGTATAAAGCGTTTTCATTTATGGATCTAAATGTCGGTTGCTCTTATCCATGATAATCCTCACAGTCTTAGACACATCCATACACCCGAACTCACCACACATTCATATTGACACTTACATCCACACTTGAGCATAGACCCTCAAGAATGTAGCACAGAAAACAATTTAAGTTTTTCAATCTTAACACTATCGAGATAATTAATAGTGATATATGAAGCAAACATATCGTTCATGTTCATAGTTTTCGTAAAGAAAGGGTGTTTTTCTTGATTTTCTTGATTTCATAAATCTCTCCTTGAAGACGTTGGTTTCAGACGAGACACAACAGTGCACAAATTTCATCGAGAAGAATTAAAAATCGCAATTTTTTCTGTATTTGGCATCACTCGTGCACACATTACTCGTATGTGCTGTGCCAAGGACACGCACTTTTCTCTTTGAAAAGAACGCATATTTGAGGTTTCTCATTCCCACTCAATTCGATTAATGTATTATTCGATGCTACGTACTCCAGATAAGCTCATTTTACATACTTTTGTAGAGATGAAAAAATAGTAATGTTTTGTTTGCAATGGCTAAGAGTGACGTACTTGTCGTTTGTGTGCACATACATAAGATCGAATATATATGACTAAAAAAAAACAGCGAAACATTGGAGCATAATATTTGCTTTTGGGTTTAAATGATTTAACAATTTATAAGACTTGTCTACTATTCGTCTATCATCGCATTGTATTTATCTGCATGTTTATCTGATTCATACTTGAGTAATCTCTGTACAACCAGTAATCTTATAGCATTGAGTCAAGGTCAATCATTTTATTAGTTGAAAAGGGACTGAGACTATTCGAGTGACCTTCTCAGTTAATTTGAAAGTTCAGTACAAAATAAAAACTTATGCACATTCGTACTCGAAAGTGAATGAATTCTGAAATGTAAAACGATCTAAAACTACAGTCAGTAAATTCGTGCTTTCTTAGAACAATTAGTGCTCGTACATTATAAATAAGGTTTTCTAATCGACTGATGAATATCATACTTGTAAAAGTTCACGAAGTTGTATCCACAAGAAATATTCAGAGTTCTACTACATCCTAAAATTCAAAACAGTATGTCCTTCAGTAATGCGTTCACTCCTTACAGATAAATGACGTATTCTGTTCTGATATTTGTAAAATACCTTCTGCTAGGATTTTCTCTAAACATCTTCGAGTAAAAGTATTCATTTTTGCATATTACTGTTCTCATAGCATTGCATACAAGTCTATTTATCACTTACAAGAGATGGCTCATTTATTAAGAGTCTCCCAAAACAATAACTGACCGCATTGATAGAAAATCTGGTCGTTAGGTTAAATATCAACAATGATTCTTTTAAAATATATTGTACGATGTGGACGTGTTTACTGGTTCGTAAGTCAGATTTTCTTATTTAAGATTCTTTGTTTATGGAATTTCATACAAGAAAATCTGATTCATGACACAGCTTATACCGTTATATCTTAAAATATGTTTTAATACAATCATTATCGATCTAACTTAACGACCGTATTTTCTATTATTTCGCTCAGTAATTGTCTTGGAGACTCTTAACAAGTGCGCCATCAGTTGTAAGTGATACATGGATTATAGCATTCAATGCTATAGAGAACAATAATATGCAAAAAATGAATGCTTTTACCATACTCGCAGATGTTTAGATGAAAGTCTAGAAGAAAGTTCTTAGCTCATCATTATAGTATTAAAAATGTGAAACATGATCTTAATATTGTTGTTAGCTATTTAGCTCCTGTTTTGTTATGCACTTCGGGGTAAATATCCAAATCATAGCCTATACTTCATAGTTTAAAGTCCCAACAAGGAAATATTTTATATACGCATATTCGGATCAGATGTTACTGACACATGATCTTCGATAGTACCTTGAAGCTATCCATCGTGGTCTTCCATGAGCCATTAATTCGTTTATCAGGTTCCCTTATGCACAAATCTATATCCTATATACGTTAATACGCCGTGTAGATCGTGTTTCATAAAAGTATTCTATAAATATCAAAACTCCTCAGCGGTTTTTACGGAGTAATGACATTACGAAGAGCGTACTATTTCGAAATTAGAAATGTTGAATTCTCAATTCTCATTACAAGTGCAAAGTGTCATGTAAAAATATTTAATACAAATTATTAATTAATATTTGTTTATGATGAATTTGATGTATTATGATATAACTTTTCAACAGCCAAAATAATTTCAATTGTTGAAAACTCGATGAAAATATAGGATAAGCCAATAATCATTACTAAATAGTTTCGATTTTCTCTTAGAGTCACTAACTTCTAAAATATATCACATATATCACTCATTATCGCAGCTTTATGTACATCGGTTGGTTAAGACTTCATAGAATCATCAATGTATACCTATATCAACTATCAAGTTCAATATAGTAAAATAATATATCTTTTTTGTTGATCTATCATTCAGCAACGGTAAGTTAGTTCAAGTGATATTTCAAGTCTATAAAGAATCACTTGAATCTTCTTTTCTGTTCCCTTTAGAGCTTACATTCAATGAGAGTAGTTTGCGAAACGAACAGTTGATTTTTCATGATTATTGTAATGGTTGTTTATATTTGTTCATTTGCTCGTCCGAACGCTATATGGTGTGATTGTATATATAATTATAAGAAAACACATATTTCAACTCGTTTAAAATATGCAAAAGTATCTTGGAAATATAATATTTGCCTGCGGGTTTTTCGTCAAACAATATATACAAGCAAATCAGTAAACCTTGAAGTTTAGTGTTCGTATTTAAGATAAGTATGAAGTCTTTTAGAAAAATCACAGAACTTGAACACTTTCAATTTTGACGATTTTCAACTCAATTATAAATGTAGATCGAATTCAGAAAAGAAGGTGTGTACGAATAATGCAAGTGAATTCATAAAATGAATGAAATCTTGTTGAACAATCCGTTGAATTCGACAAGTACTATAGTATAGTGCTTAAATATTTGTTTTTTCGGTAAGCTTTATAAAAGGAATCATTTTTTAAATGACCATATAATATAAATGGATAGTTAGACTGAGTTTATATGTTATTGTTAGCACGGCAAGATAGGATTCTACAGTTCGACATGTCAATATCTAGTAGTGTTAAGATGGATTTTACAAGACAATTTTAGAGAATTCATCTGAAGTGATAAATCACGTAAAAAAGGGAATTTGAATCGCTCTTCGAAAACTAATTTAACATTTATTTTTACTTTTGCATGATCTATGCTTGTAGAATGAAACTCTTTTTACGTTTTATAATCATAATTATAATAGTTCGAGCAATTTGTATGTACCTGTTAATTAATTGTAGCAAAGCTTTTGTATACTGCTAATAGAGCAATCGGATAAGAGTCTAAATAGTGAGATGACTCTTTTTTCTTGCATTCTTCAGAGTGATGATTCTAAGAAGATACCTCAATCATATTTGGTCTGATAGGCACATAAAATACTATTCGTTTTTCCATATGTATTAGAAATACGACGGTACACAGAAAACATTTTGTATTGTCTTATTTTATGATACGTATAGTTATTCTCTTAATAGTAGAAAGAACTTTAATGATGTGAACCTTCAAGGATTTCCTATATGTTAGCTGTAGTCGTTTTTGCGATAATATATATATATATATATATAAATAAATGATTATAGTAATTATATACTTTCATTCAAAATCTTTGTCTGAACGCTATTAACGTTATAGCAGGCATGAATATTATTTAAGCTATCTTCTACATTACCATAAAGATAGTATTCTCGAATAATTGTTCTTATAATACTTTTTCGAAAATAACAAACTTGCATGGTATTCGATTAGTGATCATAAATGTTGCTTTCAGGAATAATACATCCAAGCAATGATTGGATCATCATATAAGTTTTGATAAAAACACGAAACAAAATTTTTCTTTTTTTAGATTTTTATACTTTTGAAAAGTACAGCTGTTGGGCGATTTATATATCAAGTGTTCGTGTAAGATATTTTTTGACAAACATATATCCGTTTGATTATTGTGTTTGACTTGAAGAAATGGAAGTCGAAACGATGCTTGAAGATGATGGTGAATTTACTACGCGCCCTACTGGGAACAGAAAACAATCAACAAAACGATTGTGAGTATAATTTTGATGATATATATTGTATTAGACAGTAATCGACTACAACAAATTGAAATGTAAATTTCTTTTATTGGAAAGGTTCAAAGTGTATTTTAAAATTTTAAAATGGCAATTGCCTTTGAAAAAAAACAGGCCTCGTGATACTTCACGAATCCAGAAAAGTGTTATTTTGCATATTGTGACATGCAATACATAAGAGACAAAATTGATGAGACCTACTTTACAGCTATCGAAACCTAGAATAATTTATTGTAGGGAATATAAAATTAGAAAATTTGCCTAGCGAAATTTAAATAAATATTTGTAATGATTCATTTATTTGTTTGATGTAGGAGTAAATGGAAATCCAATTTGATGCGTTTGGGTATTACCGGTTTTGGAATTGTGATACTTGCAACTTTGGTCTCTGTTGCTATTTTTAAATCGGTGCACCATGGTAAACAATCAATGGATTCGGACACAAAAGATACAGGTGACCTTCAAATAATGATTAGTTTATCATCATAATCCTAGATATATGTAGATATGCAAGAGATTCTCCTGAAAGCTATTTTCAGTACCAATCATGTACTGGATGACGAACTTCGTTCATTGAAAATAACCAATACTGACAATATTACAGATCAAGTATACCATATACTCAATCATTTATCTGTATTATTCTTCTGTTTTCTTGTAGCTGAACGCCATATTGAACGCGAAAATGATTAGCATTTTCAATGCATTTTTTCGAAACCATTCCATCTCGAATGGGTAATTCTAGTAAACTTCTTGTGATAGTATTTCTTTTTTAATCTTTCAATTTCGATTCAGAATTATATGTGGAAATCCATTATCCGGAAAAGTTCTTCAATTGAATATGGTCACTCTTTACCGGCGCCATTGTAAATATCAGGACGACGATATGTGTAAAATACAACTTCAGGAACAATTAAAAACTATATTCAGTCAAATGCCACTCATTCCTATGACGGTTCAGTTTGATGACGGCCGTTCCGAAACAATCGACACCCGAATTTGTAGTATTGCTGAAATGACAGGTAATATAAAAAATATTGTTTGAGAAGTATAGCATCATGTTCTTTCTTTTTTTTACTGTCATTAAGAAGCGGAAGAAGAAACCATTGCAACAGATACAAAAATAAAAGCAAAACAAGCTGTGATGCCATCGGCAGTACGACGAAAATTGGGGAGAAACAGTAAGTGTTTCTAGCAAAAATGATAGATTTATCGGAATATTTCTACTCGTAATTAAAGAAACTTCTAATTTTTGAAAATATTCATAGACTTCTAATTTTTTAAACCATTTCATTGCTAAAATATGGAAGAACATGAACTTCTTTTCGATCATCATCAATAATATATTCCTGACGGAATTCAGTATTTGACCGAAACTTTATTAGGTTTTTGGCCAAGTTTTTTATACGACTGTAAAAATTTTCTGCCTTCAATTATATATGACTTTTAGCGATGAAACTTGGAAAAGCTTCCTATAATTCAACAAATCACATAACTAAAAATAGCTTAAGTAGATGGATTCAAAATGTTTAGTGTAGCTCTACATGATCAACTGTAAATCACGTTAAATTTGTGCAACTCGCAAACGGCAGTTCTACTTATATGAATCATATACAGCCCCCGAGAGTAAACTAAACGTATACATTAACAATTCTTTCAAGATCGTAAATGCAATAGAAATTAATACATTGTATCTGCCTATCTAAAACGACCTTTGAAGAAGCTCATGCTGTAGACGATTCACTATTATGACGATAGATTTAAAAGTTTGCTTAAGAATACATATCAAATGATTCACCAATAAAACGACGCCCTGTTGAGCGTAGAGATTGACCAATAGCAGAGAATGAATGGAACATGACAATCCTCAAAATATTCCTGTTTTCATTAACATTGAGAACACAGTATATATTTAAGAATATATTACTTTTAAAAACACTAATGAAGCTAGCCTTTCTTGTGTCATCTCAATGAGATCTTCAGGCCAAACACATTTATGTTCTCATCATTTATAAGAGAAAAAATTAATTTAACTAAATTATTCTAGTTCACTTGAAGTATATGTAATTTCGTCATACAATAGCTGCCAGAATGTGTAATGACAATATAAACTAATTGCTAACGTCTAAATTAATGAAGCATGCTTTTTTTTTCAACAATTAGTGATGAAAACAAGGAAGAAATAACCATTTAATTGTTGTAGTCTCAAATTATCAGAATGATCAACACATGAAAGTCTGTGATAGGCGGCACGGAATAGGAGGGAGTAGGGGTAAAAATAGAGCTTTTAAAATTACCATAATCATTTTGTTCAAAATATATATGATTTCCAGATCATTTTTAGTATTTAATAGCAGATAACAGTAGTTTTAATCGATGATCGTTTTCATGTTTGTTGACTGCATATAATTAGACTTAACCCGAGACACAAAAGAAATTTCTTCGGAGCGGAGCTAAAAATGTACTGCATATTCCTGATGCATCCTCAAACAAATTTTCATATACGATTTTCTTCAGATTTTTGTGAAAAATGCCATTGGAGACTAGTTTTTATTTCTATACAGTGAAAAAAGTATTTCTTTCGTTTCTTTGACAGAATATTATAGACTGTCTCATGTGCTTTCGTGAGTTTTCAGATCGTGGAATACTAGCTTTCGTGCCATAGATAGTTAGAAATACTAGCCTCGGAAGTCTCAACATATTTAGTCTGTTCGACTTATAGTCGCCATGTAATGAATATGACTATAGGACAGTTGTTCACGCCCACAATAAACTCAACGTGTCTCATTGTTAGATCCTGCCGGAATACATTACAGGATTTTTAGTAGAAATTATATCTTGACCATAGTTTATTACATCTTTTAAATATGTCGACATGTTAATCTGACTCACGGCTATCTGTTTGGTAATAGCATCCTGTGGACCCAGGTCGAAAAATCAGATGTAAGATCTTGCGAAACCAGATAGGATCGTACAAAAAATCGTCGCTTCTGAAATCTTACATTAAGACTTACAATAAGGTGCTTGAAAGATCTTACTATTTCGTACGATTTTTTTGTCGGATATTACACGATCATATAAGACCTGGTGTAGAATCTTATCAAATCTTAAAATCTGATTGTTTGCTCTGGGGAATTTTAAACTAGAACTTTGTGGTAATCGCATAGTTTCATACATGATTACCACGTATACTATGATCATGCAATCTGCTGTAACTAAAGAAAACAACTTTGATATAAATTGTAGAAAATAGAAATCATGCTAATTAGAACAAAAAATTGAAAATCATTATCTACAGTAAAAATGGATAATACATAGGTCTTACCTGTCTTGTTGAAAGTATATCAAATTGTGACATATTATTTACATCATGATAATGTTTTAGAAAAATCCTATATATTACAAAAAAATACGAAATACATATTACACAGAGAAAATAACCGAGTGTGCTTTAATCGGCTTATTTTAAATAATCATACTTCGAAAAAGAAATCGAATGAATTCATTTTTTTTATAGAAGGTATCTTGCTTTGCGAAAGCAATTAAATAGGACTAAACCGAGAGTTATGCTAGGTTTCAGAATAGGACCACAGCTACACATTAATTCAATAGTGATTGTCACAATTCATTTGTTATTAACCTACGCTACGAATTAGAAACTACTATTGCTTATATATTTATTAGTGCCTCGTGCTATTGCCACGCCATATTCTGCGTTACAGAGAGCTAGATGTGCTCTTTGTATCAATAAAATTGGCCTAGTCGAAATGCCTGGTGAACTGGGATCGAGAATTAATGATGACATCAGAACCATTGACATTTCAAACGATGATCGAAGTCGGCACTATTTAACTGTTTCTGTTTATGAACACGGAAACTATAGGTTAACTGTCCAGCTGGATTGCGGTGGATATTTGAGTAGAGATATCTCGGATGCTCCTTGCAGTAATTCTCTCAGTATTACGGCTTGGATTGACTTCAACGATAATGGATATGATGATGGTGAAACTCAACTTCTTCAGCGTGCTTGGCCAACTCATGAAAAGGCAACAGGTATATATAATTTAGACGTACGTGTACCTGGCGTTGACGGTGCAACAACAAAACTTGGACCTCACCGTATGACAATCACTGTTACACCAAGTGACGATTATCGAGCACAATGTGGTGACTTTTCATATAAAGAAGTTCGTGAATACACATGCATCGTTATTCAAAGAGATAGACCTACTCGTAAGTAATTGCTTGCCTACTTAATGCACTAGTTTTCTATCATAAAGTATGAAGTGTTTCTCTATATTTATTGAAGATAAGTTTTAATAAATATTTACTTTTTCATCATTGCTTGAATCAACGCAATTTACAATTGATATTTCCTTATTGAAATGAATCATTACAGAGCGAATAGAATTTTAGGAATCATATTATGCCCTTTTCTTTAGTGTGATATGAAAAATATAAGTTTTAAAAACGAATAGTATTTTTATAGTAAACAATACGATGCTGAACCATCGTATATCTCAAAATGAGTCGAGTTCGTTTTTAATTTCAAATTACTCGTACCTATGAAAAATCTTTACGAGAAATTTATGTTCTATTTCCCTAAGTTGTATAACAACTATGAGTCAATTCAAATTCTTGTAAGTTTATACTCTCAGCATAAAAAAGTGTGCAATAAATATGCATGCCACAAATGTTGATATGAAGTTCATTTTCTTAATAGAGCAGCTTAATCAATAGATTATAATTTTCATTTATAAAAATACATATAAATCAATGTATTACACTCTAAGAGTATTATATTTTTTTATACGAAGACACTTTAGTTATACATCGGATTATAGTGATACAATTGATATATTTCAGCTGTAGATGATCATACATTGCATAGGGTGAGTAAAGAATTAAAATGAAAGAGTGCCTCCTTGTTGAAGATAGTGACTATAGTTTATTGAAACTCAATAAATGATAATGAATAGACTTTATTTTATAGTCATTTGATTTGATCCTACATACTCTTCTGTGTACGTTTGAAAAATTATTACTATAAAACATCAGATCACAATTCGATAAGAATAGATATAATCAAAGGTACACTTTACATTCAATATAAATTTACTAAAAATTGATGATGTAGTTTTAAGTGAGATCAGTTTTTATTCAATTAATTATAAGATAGTGAAACAAATTTGATCCTATATATAGGTTGGTTGACGTACTATATTTTCGTGCCTATTTAATCCATACATAATACTAAATAGTTTAAATATTTATTAATTCTAGTTCCGCCAACTCCTGCGCCTATAATCTGTCCTGCAATCGCCAAAATTATTCTTGTTATAATGGCTGGTGAGAAAGGAACAGAAATCCGTGATGACTTACCATCGTCTGCAGTAGCAAACAGTCATCAAAATCAACATCATATGGCCGTTACACTTTTTGAACACACTGTGTATTTACTACGCATTCAACTGGACTGTTCTTCACAATCAAGAACTGAATTAACTGAAACTGGTTGCAATCTTGCTCAAGACGTGAATGTTTGGATTGATCTCAACGATGATGGAAATTTCGACGACACAGAAGTCGGTGCTCCTTATCGTTGGCCAGTGACCAGCTACATGGCAGAGGGTATCTATGATATACAAATATACGTACCAGCGATCAGTGCAAGAAATATAAGAAATGGACCTCATCGTATGCGTATTGCTGTTTCACCCAGTGACTATTACAGAAGACTTCATGGCGACTGTGACCTTAGTCATACAAGAGAATATATGGTTACTATTATTCCAAGAATGAAATATTCTGGTATGTATTATTCTTGTGATTATGAGATCATATTTTCCTATAACTCTAAATAGGAACAATTAAACGTTTTTCTATGCATATATTGATGAATATTTCAGGGACTACGTAAAGATTCTTATTCATTGTGAGTATCATTTACTTGCTAATATAGTTGAGAAAGTTCTATTATATAAGAAACATGTTAAACCACAAACTATGAACGAACTATTTGTATTGCGAATAGCAATGAAATTTTTACAATCTGTTCTGTGAATTCATTTTTTTTTGCAGCAATCGATGCTACACCCACTTCTGTGGTACCACACAATGTTGCATGTTCTCCTGATGTTGGCAAACTCATTCTTGTTGTCATGGCTGGTGAGCATCGAACCCAAATTCGGGATGATGATTCAACCAAATCTCAGTTAAGCGGCAACCCGAGAATTTATCAACATCTAGCTATTGTACTATATGAAGACACTGTCTATTTACTACGTATCCAATTAGAATGCACTAGTACAGATGGCAGACAATCAGTTGGAAACAATTGCAATCTTCCACATGATGTAGCTGCTTGGATCGATTTGAATGATGATGGAAGATTTGAAGATACAGAATATGCAGCTCCCTATCGATGGCCACTTACTAGCTATGTACCACAAGGTATCTATGATCTGCAAATATATGTACCTGCTATCGATGGAAGAAAAACGAAAAGTGGACCACATCGTATGCGTCTTGACGTAATGCTAAATGAACAGTATCGTCAAAAATGTGGCAAGAATGCTTACAGAGAAACGCGAGAGTACAATGTTACTATTGTTCAAAAGAATATGCATCAAACGGGTAAATATTGATTTTTCTATAAGCATATAAAATAATATGCTTTCAGAGAGTCGATCATAGAGTTTTTCTACTGTCATAAGATTTATCAGCATTCGAGTTCACGTCATCGTCTACTTTAAAGCAAAAACCCTACTCAGACGCTCGCTACACAATGTTTCTTATTTATGATATATTTCTATAAATAGAATTATACTAATAACTAAAAGCAAACATCTTTTCGCTAAAGATTATAATGTAGTCGTAGACGAATCTTCTAGAAAAGTAAGCTCACTTGAAAGATGAACGATAAATATCGATGTCTAATTTTGTTTTTATTCTATATGTTTCTGTTTATATGAGTATAGACTTGAAGAATTGAACCCTATATGAACAATGATATTATGACATACATAACTGAGAAAAAAACTATTTTAAATATTAATTTACATCATATACAATTATGGAGAAGTTATTCATTCTCCTTTTTTTCTAGTTTCTCATAGAAACATGTTGTTGGGTAATACTACAAAGAATAAATGAATTGGATTGTTTCATAGTTATTCTATTGATTTCGGCAAAAATTAGTTAAATGATTGTTATAGTGAGTCTTATTAATTATTAATCGAGAACTGATATTCTTAAGGATGAGTACTATATTGATGTAATAATATACAAGAATTTATGAAGAATCAAATAAAATCGCTAGTGGTTGGTCAATAGAAATTAATTCATTTCGTTAGTAAAGACAAAACCATAAAATTTCTATGAGATGATACACTGTACGTACTATAATTTTCTTCATAGAATTGCAATTGAATAGAAACTTGAAAAATATTTTCATTATTTCTAGTTGACATCGGAGGACCTTATCTAACATTGAGCGATTCAGTATGTTCTCAAACCAATGGTAAAATTGTACTTGTTATAATGGCTGGCGAGAAAGGATCACATATACGAGATGATACACCAATAAATACTGTGATCCGTGATACTCAAAATCAACACCATATGGCTGTTACCACATATGAAAATACTATCTATCGATTACGTATTCAGCTTGATTGTGACCAACGTTCTAGTAGAAGTTCATTTAAAATCAGTTGCAACCTTGCTCAAGATGTGAATGTCTGGATTGATTTTAACAACGACGGAACATTTGAAGAATCAGAAAGCCGTACCCCTCATCGTTGGCCACTTCGTACTACAATGACAGTAGGCATTTATGATTTGGAGATTCCTATACCTAGTATTGATGAGCGCAGTATCAAAGGAGGTCCTCATCGTATGCGTATCGTGGTACAGTCGAGTGATGAATATCGCAGAAAATGTGGAAGATCTGACTACAGCGAAACACGAGAGTACACTGTTAACATTATTCCAAAGGAAATTTCAAGAGACGATCGTAGAGAAATTCAATGGGAAGCACCACGAGAAATACCAAGAGAAAATCCATGGGAAGCGCCAAGAGAAACTTCATGGGAAGCGCCAAGAGAAACTCCATGGGAAGCACCAAGAGAAACTTCATGGGAAGCACCAAGAGAAAATCCATGGGAAGCACCAAGAGAAAACACATGGGTACCACCACAAGAAATACCAAGAGAAAATGATTATGAGGGTAATACGCTTTCCTAATTACTGATTGAAATCTTTATATCATATGGCACATGCACTCATACTGAAGAGTAACGGCGAACGAACTAGGTATTATAGTGGCTTAATTATGCAATCGCTCAGTGTGCATTGTATGAATATGATAGCATAGATCTGTAACAGTTGAGTTATACAAGAACAGATGACAATACGATGAAAAAAGGCCAATGAAGTCTGGAAAGTCTATCGAATTAAATTGGATCATTGCTAACAAGACGTATCTTGAAAAATAAAAGATCTGGGTGAATTCGAAATGAAACAAAAATTCACGTTTTTTTTCTATCCATGAAAATGAGCATCATGAGAATCACACGATTTTTATTGTAAAGATCTTGACAAATGTAGTGTTGATCTTCAGTGCACATTCACAAAATAATTTCATCGAATGCCTATAATTTATTTTCATTAAAATATTTTGTAATCTCTCTTTTAGCCTACAGAACGACACAGTGTTCTCCTGGCAATTTTGTCTGTTCCGAAGGGAATAGTGCTATTTTCTCGGTGAGTTTATCCGGTGAGCAACATACACAGATTTGGGATGACACAAAAACATGCAACTCAGCAAACAATTATAATGATCGAAGCACTGTAGCTGTAACATTGTTTGACAATACGGCGTATAATCTTCGCATTGAATTAGCCTGTGTCCAGCAAACGAGTTATGGTGAATCTTTTAGTCAAGATCCATCAGTATTTTCGACTGACTGCAATGATGCTCGCTATCTAGGTGTGTGGGTAGATTTCAATAACGATGGCACATTCGACGAAAGTACAGAACAATTGATTCCTAATCAATGGCATAGAGATGACCCTCATGTAACTGAAACCGACTTACGCATTAACATTCCACAAATTGATAATAGATATTTCTTGAGTGGACAACATCGAATGCGTATTATTTTAACTCAAGATGAACGCAACCGAAGACCATGTCAAAGTAGTGGCTATGGTGAAGTAAGAGATTATACAGTTCAAATTATGCAGAAGCCTGCATACTGAGATGAAACATGAACATTAAATTGACGCTCCATTATTCCTGAATTTTCCATTTTTTTAATATCATAGTTTTTTTGTACACGTAGAAGTAATACTAACAAAATGCTCCTGGGTTTTTGCTTAACTGAGTTGTGAAAATAAATAAAAAGACATCGTGGAAGTGCTTTAAGATTCCACTATATAGAATTAGAACATACCAAATATTGAAAGCAATTTAATCATGACGAATAAGTCTTGTTAGGTCAATTATACTTTGTAAAGTGAAATTTTCGTATATTGTAGCGTGTAGGTATGTCTATTATAGTTCATGGTTGACGTACTTAACGTGCAAACGTTCCTCATCACATATTTTTTAACATTCACAAAAGACTATGTTTGATCAAAAGGGTATTATTCTTACGATGATTTTCTCTCAACTAATCTTTAAAGAAAGTCACAAGCGTTCATCTTATTGGATCGTTGTTAGCATGCTTAAATGTTCATTAAAGAGTCTATATCGTTTAGTATCAATTTATTTTGATTTCAAATATAATTCTATTTTCTTCAAGTGAATCTCGCTTGCTATGCTTAGTTCGAAGAACAAATGAAAGAGATTGCATGCCGTAGTTTTGAGTAACATAATTGAATTTAATATACCCCCCCCCCGAAATAGAAGACCTTCATGGATTAAAAGGGCCTCCTCGATTAGAAACCCCTTCCCCCCTAAAAGTTTTGAATAATTCCCTTAATATAAGGCTCGAGCTTTACAATTCGTCCATGTTCGCTATTACTTGATATGTCCATTACTCTTCGTAGCAAAGAAAAATGTTTTTTATGTATACATTTATGTTCTCTCTCTCTCTCTCTCTCTCTCTCTCGCATCATCGTTGCTCTCTGCTCAGAAAAAGTGGGAGAAGATACATTCTTTCCATTCATAAGTCATTATCAAGATTATTGGTCGACACCGATGAGAATATGGTTTGTCTTTCTGTACCCGAAAAATGGATGTAAATGATGATTTGCCGTCATTCGATGATAGTGACATCAAGGTGACATCCACTATCGATGAAGAAGAAAATGAACTTGTTAAAATTGGCAATAACCTGTGTTTGAACTCGGATGATATGGTAGCACTGATGATGACCAGAATATACAAGACAATTCAACAGTGCAATCTTATCCAGCAGTCCGAACATCAGAAGATGATGAAAACGATGATAGTGATCTAAAAGATTAAAAATAAATATTTATCCCAAGATTTCTAAAACTTTCTACCAGCATCACTCTATGTTTCAAATAGAAACATCCACCCCCACCCAAATAGAACGCTCCCTTTGAAATTTCATCTACTTTGTCATTATAGAAGGCTCCGAGTCTTTTATTTTGGGAGGGGGTTTAATTATTATTCCTGTCGTTCTTTGACGTTTCGCAAATGTGAACGGAGGTGAACGCTATTTACAATATCCCTTCTAGAAATTGCGCACCCTCAATTTCTTACCTACATCTAATGAGTCACTTTAGATCAATTATGTTATGTTTATCTTTTAAGATTTAAAAAAATTGTGTTTAGATTCATATTGTAAGAAGTTTAGTATTTAGAATAGCAGATTGAAATCTTTTCTTAATATTTATCAAGAACATAGAGAATCGATGTAGTTTGAAGATAAGGTAAGTGGCTTCATAAATATTGGTTTGACAACTAAAAACGAAAATAAGAACTAAATCTCGTAAATCAAAGGAAACAGATAAATTTGTTGTGATACAATCACAATTGTCAGAATTATATATAGAGAGAAAATGAAATTTTATTACATACACTCGTATATAATAGCTTTGCACCTTTGAAATTTTAAAAGAACTTTTCTATCGAACACAAAATCTTATTTAATTTCTGTCCGACGGAATGCGGATGATAAGAATGATCTTTTTCATGTTAGTTCTCGGTTTTCTGCCAGCCACACATGCAGGAACACCGCAGCGCAATCTCATTCAATTTAAAAACATGATCAATCATAAAGGTTTCAGTTCACTAGACTATATTGGCTATGGTTGTTGGTATGTTCAGTTTTTTTTCTATTTTGTTGCACAAAAATGAAGGAATAAATTCGCAGGTGCGGTTGGGGTACTTATGGTGCAAAAGTACTTGATAATACAGATCGCTGTTGCCAATTGCACGATCAATGTTATGACCGTATTTCAGGTGGATTTTTCGGCTGTTCACCAAAGCTTGTCACTTATGATTGGAAAGAATTATCAAATGGCGGGATTCAATGCACGGATAAAGCAAATACGTGTGATCGCAACGCATGTGAATGTGATCGAGCAGCTGTCGAATGTTATGAGCAATATAGGCAAAGCTATAATGCTAATTTTCTGGATGGGAAATATACAGGCAACAAAAAGATTGCATGCAAATAATTAATATTGATTATTCTTTTTTCTTTGTCAACCTTAACAGAAAGGTTGAACCTTAAATAAATACATGTGATCTCGCATACATACATTTTTTTTCTAACTCGAAGGCAAAATTTATTAATTCTTGACCACGATTAGTACAGATCTTTGTTTATGTTAGTGTATAAATGATACTGATATGAAGAAATTACCTAGACTAACATTCTCTCATTATTTTAAATGATTAAGAGTGAGAGCTACATTTGATGATGGTACATATTGGATGTATATCTGTATATATTCATTAAAAAAAAGTAGCAGATCGATTGATTCTGTTTTGCTTGTCTACCTCCTATCAACAGTTATTAATACGTAGGCGCGGTAAAAAATAATAAATCATTATTATCTATAAAAATGAATTCAATTTTTAAAATGTAACCGCATTATGAAAGAATAAGTTTGAATCATACTCTAATAATGACAGGTATAATTGAGTGTGCATATTGGGATATCAGATTAAGGCATAGTCATTACTTGGAAGATATCAATTGTAAGGATCTTCAGACGACAAGATTGTTCTATGTTTGATGGATGACGAATGCTACTTGTGCATGATATGCCTAGTTCGAATTCGAAAATAAATGGACATCCAACTGCATGGTATCAATTCGAAAATAAGTGATAGAAATAGATTTAGTTTTAGATTTAGTTTAAGATGGAGTGAGTGTCGGTTGAGGGGGCTAAGGAGTAACTGTGGGTGTGAGTGGCGGTGCGAGTGAGGGGTACCCGGGAGGGGTGCGAGGATACATGGGGCGCTTCAAATGTGAGTGTGGGTAATGGATACCATGGAGGAGTGCCCAAACGTGGGTGCGGGTGAGGGGTATATATGTATTTATATGTCGAATATATCGGAAAGTTAAACTAAGACTAAATCTATTCTTACATTTAGTTTTAGTTTAACTTTTTCTTTTCTCCATTTATATTCGAACTCGAATTAGACAGCTACTCTTTCTTTCTTGATTAATATTACTCTTATATGCACCGTTTCTCTTAAAAAGTATTCGTTCGAAAAATAAAGAAGGAATGAACAAGCCGTTCCATCACACTACTACCTTATGCATGAAGCTGGCGTGTCACATAAGAATTAAATTGCTTGTATTACAAATATAAAACGGATGTTATCAGTTGCAAATAGGCAGTTTCAAATTTTCAAAAGTATTTAGTGGCACTGTCTACAGTATTTCATTCTAAAATCGTTGTGCCACGAAAAATATAACTAATTAAGATACTATGACGATCAAAAGTACTTTTTATTGCCATTACGACAGTATCTTGAACCACAATAATTCAATCTAATGTAACATCGCTCATTTCTTTTACCAAGAGTCGAGTGCTTCCCATGTAATAAAAACTGCATAAAAATCGGTGGTTAACCGCGGTTTTACCGGTCTGGTTACCGGCTCCCATTACCGCAGGAAGGATAAATACCGCGGTTTACCGCAAAAAATGATCCGGTATTCGCAACATGGGTTCCTTGTTTTAAAGCAGCTAAGTACTTACATTCTCGTATGACATCGAGAGTTTATGATGCATAGTTTGGATTCTGGAGTAGAGCCGAATCCTATGATAGGAATACAGCTTTGATCAACTTTTTTGTGTTGAGGAATGAACCTGTTGGGAAAAGCTGTTAGCGCGATCCCTGTGGGATTAAAATGTGAAATTCTGAACTACACCGTTATAGAATACATAATTTCTTGAATAAACAGTCAGTAAAAATTGCTTTCAAATCATATAGCTAGTTTATAGAAATTTTGATAGACTGAATACCACAAAAATAGTACTTCAATGTAATAGAGAAAAATATTCATTCAAAAATTTCATGAAGTGTCTACTCTACGAATATTTAAACTCGTGTCATTTCCAGTGTCGATTTCCTTGCTCACATCAACTTTCGAGTCAATGGCATTGAGCAATGCCGTAGCAACATAATCACCAAAGGAGAAGGGATAATGTGATCCATGACGTCGATGTTGATAGTCTCGTTCTGTTCGATAATCATCAGTAATACTGATATTCTGCATAATATCATCCCATTCTTCCAAGTAGGCAACACTCGATTCGTTGTCAGTACAGGCGAGAAATACTACGTGAATTTTATCTGATTGACGTTCGTGTTGCATAACATGCTGCAGAGTAGCTACATTGCTATTACCTTCATCATCGATCGGTTCTCCGCCTATTGCTACCAAGACAAGCATCTTTTTATCATTGTTTGTTTCATCATTGTACGCTTTGAATATGCTTTTCAGAACAGAAGTAAGCGATTTACAACCATGCGGCTCTGAAACAAATGCTTGATCGAGAAGTCCAAGATCAGAAACATTAAGTAATGATGGGCGATTAAGGAAATACACATCAATACCACTAGGGTTAAAAACGCTGCCCACTTCGATGACTATCTCAACGATCAAACGCAGTTCATCCCAACGACTGTACTTCATATCATCGAGTCGTGTTTTCATTGATGTTGAGTCGGCGCAGACAACAATTATGTTAAAATTTTTCAGTAGTTGTAGACGTTTAACTAGCTGAGAATTGATATGGTTTTTTGTTGCTACTTCAACAAGTCGTATATCAGCTAAAAGAAGCAAGGCAGTAGCTATATTATTGACTAAAAATCATTCATTAGTAATTTATGTGATTAACGACATTTTGAATATCTATTACGTGTTCAGAAGTTATATCTTCAGTGAGAGTCTATTTAATTCATCTACTCTCATCATCTAATACTCTGAGTTATTGAGGAGAATACTTTTGAATGACTCCGGCTAGTCTTCAGAGCGCTTATTGAATACAATCTCCAGTAGTTCATAAACACATACATAGAAAAAATATACTACTGAAAATGGCTGCTAAAGTATATAGGGGTAAAAATAAAACCCCTTTCTCTACTAATATATCTACTCAATGATTCACATCATAGAGATAACATAGATAGTGTTCACTAGTTTCCCTCCACATGAACAGCACCTAGATGTAACAGAATATTTCATTATCTCAGATAGTAGGATTCATGAGTCTATTGCCTTATTTTACATGTCGAACGAATTCATCATGATTCGTATTCAAATACTATAAGAGTACTTTGAAGATGCAGATATTTCTTGTAAAGAAAATTCAGTTCATCATAATACAAGATCATCTTTTATTGTAAGATTCTCAGTGGATATTTCTTCTATACCAGAGTGTGCAATGTCGAACAACGAAACTTGTCTGATACATCCTATTAGGATGAGCACACATTATATACTTTCATTTTATACTAGCTAAAGGCTTGATGACATGCACATCTGCAGCAAGAGTGTGACAGAAATTAAAGCTACTTTAGTTTATGCAGTACTGAATAAAGTAAAATTTGTGCTTTTTAAGTACATGTATCTATCATCAAGAACGTGTAAAACCAGATATGTATATAAAATAATAATATCAGCATATACTGGTGTAAATATGAGTCACACAGGATTAACTTTTTTAAACTCTCATCGATGCTTCTTGTCATATATCATGCTGAATCTTCTCTTTTCTCGAGAATGAATGCATTAATTTGAATTATTCTATAAATCTATCGTAGCGTATTTTTTAATTGTTGAAATAAAAAAAAAGAAAGTCAGTATTCGTGCATGAAATTTAATAAATCATGGATATCAATATGCATATAAAATATAATATTTTCTTTTTGAATTATCGAAATTTTGTGACACAATTAGATATCTGCCAAACTAGCGACATCACAGAGGTGTCCACAGGGCAGGACACAGGGCGAATTTTTAAAAAATTGATCCACCCTATACAGGACAGGGAAGAAAGTGGAAAACGACAGGGCAGGGCTATACCTTCACGCTCTGCAAATTTTGCATATACTTACTTTAGTTCGAAAATAACAGCAATTTTATTCTTCTCGGGAACGTGAAAGAAACTAAAACTATCCAGATAGCGCTATAGAATGGTAAATAGATTCTTATATTTGTGTTTGTATGAAGACCGTATAAGGTCCAATCAAGTTTGTAAGAAAACAAAAGAAAATAATAAATTAATCATAATAGTGATAATAGTGCACATATATTTAAAATAAAATTGTAATAGTTGCTGATGTTCTTATTATTTCAATAAAGCTATTAAAAATAAAACTATGCATCGCTATCATCGTCGATAGATTCATGTGCTGATATTTCATCTATCTCTCCTGGTGATGAAAATGAAGTTTCTATTCTCTCTTCGTTAAATATATCTCGCCTTGTCCAAACGTAATGCTGTGATATTTTGACAAATAGTTTTGCAATTATCTCGAAAGGTATAA